TTCGAACAGCCAGGGAATTTATTAAAAAACATAAGCATGAATATGGTGGATAGAAATATATATTTTTCGGGAAATATTGCCAATTCAAACTGAATTGTTTGGTGATTGTGAAGAAACAGAGTCAGATGTAGATATTTTCTCCATTACTTCCATTTTATTACAGTTTTCATCCAGGGGATACAGTTTTTATCCAGAGGATGGGGAAATTAACTGTAATTTCAGTATTGAACAATGGAAGGAACCAATTGTTTAAAAAATAATCTTAAAATTATTTTATTTTTTTTCCCAAAATCGATATATGTTGAGAACTCAAAAAATTAATGAGGAATTTACACCAATGTGATAAAAGATGCTGGAGGAGCATGTTCCACAATCAAAGTAATAGTTCACGCAATGAAACTGAAGAAAGTTAGAATATTATCAATGCTTTGAGAGGCATGACTTGATCTCTTCCAGTTCAAACCGAAATTGGAGCAGAAAAATTTATTAATTGTCACTCTCCTTGTAGGACTTACCTCTTTATCAAATCTGAAATCCATAACTGATCCTTTACACTCTTTGAAATATATTTATATTTATGAGATGCCCGTTTCAGAAAAGTGGTGAAGCATAACTGTCCTTCATTTTTCAAAATATAAAGTCATTTGAATACATAAAATTAGTCAAAAGAAGGTTTCTCAAGTTTTTATTGATGCACAATATACTTTCAAAGCTCAATTTGGAGCCCAAAGAGCCAAAAACTGTCAACGATGGAATGTTCACCGTTTTGAAACGAAATTCATGAATTTTGATGTTGATGTAGTTGAATTTTGTGATTCTACAGAAGCCTTCAATTGCGTGAATCATGGGCTATTACTTCAATATTTGGACATGTATGGTATGATTGCTGAGATCTCATATAACCGATTGAAACCAGTTTGTGACACTGCTGAATAGTAAATTTGATATCTCTCCTACCATAGGAACCACGAATATCTGCTCTTGGGCCAATTATGTTTCTATAACATATAAACGGTATGACCAACGTTGTTTGCTGATAATGCAACACTTCTCTGGCATACTCTGAAGAAACTTGAAAAAGATCAAAATATCGTGTGATAAAACTTCCTTTTCCTGAACCCAACAAAGACCATCATCATGACCTACTAAATTTTCTATAATGAAAAGAGAAATGAAAATTTCTATGTTTTTTACCACTAACAATTGTAACTAGCGTTACTGCAGTTTCGTCCTATATGGACAGTATCAAACTAATACAATAAACTCTTATATTACATGGCTTAATATAGTCCATATAGGACGAAACTGCAGTAACGATAGTTACAATTAAAAGTGGTAAAAAACATAGAAATTTTCATATCTCTTTTCATCATGATCTCATACCACGTAGTAACGGCTACATCCATCAATTTATTTAATTTTCCTATAATTAGAAAATGGCATCATCAGTAACAAATCTCATATCAAATCTTTGGATCCGTTATAGCCTAACAACAAATTGAAGACTGAACATTAGATTCGGATCATTTCTAAAAATAAAGGATGTTTGTTATGCTGAGAAGATAGTAAAATGAAAGAACTCAGCTCCCCAATAACCAAAAAGGCCTAAAATGCTCAAATTGAGTTACATCTAAGATAAGGGATTGCCTTCTGGTATATTTGTAGCAAATGTTTATTGAGCTCTCTATTTGTTTCACAAAAAAAACGTAAAGGTTTGTAGTAGACATTCGGAGGCATAATGTCAGAAGTAATTTCTAGAATGTTGTCATAAGTCTATATGCAGCCCATCTAGCCTCTCTATTCCCTAGGCCGCTGACGATGTGGTACTGAAAGCACCAAACATGGCCAGAAAAGCCTGTCTCTGTGAGCCAGAGAGTTTCGCCCGGGCCGTTTCCTGTAAAGCCTTCGGCCATCAGGCAATTGCTACGCATACATGTGGAACAAACACCATATTCAATGCCGAAAATATGATGGAAAATCTCTTAAGTGGCGAAGACACTTGGAACAAAACCTATATGACAATAAGAAAAATTATCAAAAATAAGGAAAGAAAGAGCAGGTGACGTGAAATTAGTTCAAGGAAACTTGAGATCATTTGGAGCACAAATCGATTACCAAATGTGATAGTTAGCTGCCAAAAGTTCGTGATAATAACGGTGTTACACTAAATGTAGTGTAAACGTCCTATAGTTCTTAAACTTACTTTTAGTGTTTCGCACAAACACTGTCTAGGGTAGGTAAAAAACCCCAAGGTCTATCAGAAATCCTTCGGGAAGTCCATAAAGACATTGTAAATTTGTGTGAGACTTTCTCCAAGTGGACATTCCGGGTAAGTATTTTTATCAAAGACAATGTCAAAATATTTCACCTCCATTCCGAATGAAATGAGCTCACTATTGAGAGAAAGTAGGGCTGAATGGTATAATTTTCTTCTCCCGTTGAAGGAGATTATCACAGTTTTGCTGGGGTTGACAGATATCTGCTCACCATTTAACTAATTCTTTGAAAGATATCAAGGATCTTTAAATTTTCGGAAATTCATTAAAAGAACTACTCGTACAAAAAGTATATTATGACCTGTAGAAAAATTACATGTACCGGCAACCGGCAACCGTGTTAGTTATGTGCGCTGTGCATCGACAAATAAATACATTGTTTTTGGAAATATTGCAATAAGCAAATCTTGATCTTGCAGAAGAATCGTTCTTGAATCACATTCCCATTGCCGCAAGCATTAATCTTGCTTTTGTAAGTAATTTCGTTGTTGTTGCTCCTCTGAACTATTTACTGTACTCACCTTTGTAATAAATCTATCAAGAGAAAAAGGCATTTTTCCAAATAATCTGAAATTAGCCAGTTTGACGCCTATATATAAAAAAGGTAATAAAGATGAATTGAATAACTACAGAGCAATTAGTATTCTTTTTAGCATTTCTAAACTATATGAAATAAATTTAAAAGAGCAGTTGAATGGTTATTTTACTGCGATAGAATTATTATTACCATCACAACATGCTCTCTGCGACTTTCATAGTCGCATAATAACGGCCTTGGACACAAAATAAATATGTGCTAGGATTGTTCATCGATGTTTCACGTGCGTTAGATTGTGTTAAGCACAGCCACTTGCTGGAAAAACTCTCGAGATATGGGGTGAGAGGACTGCCACTCAATTTATTGACCTCCTATCTTAAAAATAGAAGAAAAATAGTGAAAATTGGGGAGAATATGAGTTTTGAAAAACACATTTCTGATGGTGTGCCTCAGGAATCCATTTTGGAACCTTTTCTGTATTCAGTATTTGCGAACGATCTATTAGTGTGTCTGAATGGAAATTCTGCCACTTACTGTATATGTTACGTTGATGACACGAATATACTGGTTATTGAAGATGACCTAAACACTGTTATAAATACAGCTGAAAGAGCTTTCAGTAGAGTTATCACTTGGTGTGAAAAAAAACAACTTGATAATGAATAAAACAAAAACTAGTATGTTGAAATTCACGGTAGGACGACAACACCATGAGGTGAGTCTATACCAGAATTCCGAATTACAATTTAATCCCACAACAACAACTGAATTGTTGGGAGTTACCTTCGACAACAACTTGCAATGGAAGCCACAAATAGATAATTTGTGTAAAGAGCTCAGAAATTCCTGTTATTCTCCCAGGTATCTCTCCACTCACTGCAGAGAGATTCTACTCACGATTTACTATGCGAATTTTAATTCTCAGCTCAGGTATGGAATACTGGACTGGGGCACAAGTTCCTCTGTGGATCCAGTGTTCATGATATAGAAGTATGCAGTAAGGATCATTGCTAAGTTACGATTTAGGGAGTCATATAGGGGAGCATTTCAGAATTTGAAAATATTAACAGTTGCAGGAATATACATACTTGAGGCATGTACATATGTATACCGCAATAAAAACAAATTGTTTGCCAACAGACCCTCACATACCCATTTGACACGAAATGGCTACTTACTTCTACCCAGTCAACATCGAACTGCTCTCTACCAAACAAGTTTTGACTATCAGGGATGCAAACTGTATAACAAACTTCCCGACACAATTAAAGTTTCAGGAAATGTGCACATTTTCAAGAAAAAAGTTAGGCAACTCTTATTGTCAAAAAACTGCTACATTGTTGAGGAGTTTCAACTATAACATTATTTCCATGTGAGGTGTACGGTTCATTTAATTTACACCTTTTTTATCTACACAAACATAGAATTAGGAACTTTAATTCATTTTATATATATACTTTATATTATTACACATCCAGAGATATTTATTTATTCTAGTAATTTCATATGTATATACATTTTCTATATCATTTCTCTACTTGAATTTACTGACGTTTATCGCTTCTTTATTTGCATTATCACAATGTTGATGTACAAACTAATTCGTGGAAATGAATACATCATTATTATTATTATGTATTTAGGTATGTTTGTTAGGGTTTCTTTCCTTCCGAGTCACTCTCGAGATTGAAGGCATCATCATAAGAAGTGATATTAGCAGATAATTTGAGATCGTCTGCAAATAGTAGGATTGTACCAGAGGAAATGCAGGACCTGATGTCGTTTATGAATTCGTTGAAAAATGAAAGTCCTACATTGGAACCTTTGAGAACACCCGACATCACTGCTACTCGCATTTTTCAATTCCAAGTTAGTAAGAAGCAAGTCATTAACGTGTTATATGATAGTGCAGATGCTTTCGCCACTATTTTCAAATCTTTACATTTCCTCGAGTGTAACTTTATTTAGAAAGTAGCAGAATGATTGAAAATATTCATAGATCATTTGAATTACTTCTGTGGAAATGGAAAATGTTCCACGCTCTATTCACAAGATGAAACGAAATTGTGGTGTATCAGCAATTGTTTCCACCAACATCCATAGGTTTCAACTCCATCTTTTGAGCAGTAGTCAACAATGATTGGAGTTCTCATTTGGTACCAATATGCGTATGAATGAAAGTAACGTTTTCAATTGATTGCATATATATGTCAAAATAAAAATATCAACAAAAATACATAAGTTAATTCTGGTCACTGGAATTGGAATAAACAGTCTTTTATACACACTAAATACAATAGCTACTAGTACTTATAATTTTTCCCCACTCAGTCCCATCATATTATAGTAGGAGTGATCGGGAAATCGTTCTAATTCGATATAGTCTGTTTCACTCATCAATAATTTCTCTAAAAGTTCTAAACACTCTGTGAACGAGGGCCGCTGTTTGGGGTCCTTGTCCCAGCAGTAGTACATAATGTTGTATAGTTCTCTTCGGCAGTGTTCTGGTTTATCCAAACGAAAACCATCTCGGACCTAGAAAAAAAAATTAAATTGTATTACGAATGAATTGGTAATTGTCATGCAACACATATTTTTGAGAGGCACACTAGGTTGATTAACAAAAAAACGAGAAGAAAATCTTCTAAAATTTTTGGTGATAGGGCCACCCCTATTGATCAATTTGAGTCCACTGAGTCAGTTGACCATCGATCAACATCCGTACGTCGACAAAACGCAAGATCCGCCGAAAACATCACCGCTGTCTGTGAGAGTGTGCAGGAGAATCCAAGGCTGTCGCGTCGCTCACAAGAGCTCGGTCTTTCGCAGACCACAACTTGGCAAATTTTGCGTCGTAACTTGGGCCTGCACCTGTACAAAATTCAACTGACCCAGAGACAATGACCTGTGTTCGCTGAATAGGCTCTGAAGCAGTTTGCAACTGACCCTAATTTTCATCTAAAAATCATCTTCAGCAATGAGGCTCATTTCTGGATGAATGGGTACGTAAACTAACAAAATTGTCGTATTTGGGATAATACCAATCCACATAAGATCCAAGAGCGTCCAATTCATTCCGAAAAAGTCACTGTTTGGTATGGATTTTGGGCTGGCTGTGTCATGGGTCCATATTTTTTTGGGAACGACGTTGGCCAGGCTATCACTTTAGGTCGATGATGATAATAACTTCTTTTGGCCTAAATTGGATGATCTGGAAACCAATAACATGTGGTTTCAACAGGACGGACACACAGCTCATGCCACATTGGATATTCATTCATTATGAAACTTGTTATATATTGCCAGTATTTGAGTATATTGAAGAAAACATGTTAAAAAACCATAATGGTTTCGATTACTTGCTTGAAAGTGCCAAAGTTTCATGTTGAATTTTACTAGATCGGACTTCCATTTTAATACGATTCGAAATCAAAGAAAGAACAAATAAAATTGAAATGAATAGCTGAAATTACAATTAGATCATCCAAGAAAACGTAAAATAAAATTAAAATGAAAGGAATAAAATAATAAAGACGAAAGATGGTAATGATCACAACGTGAAAAAATTTAAAAAGCTCAATATTGAAAATGAAACAATTGAGAAAGAAACCGAAGAATTCAAAAAAGATTTTAAACTACTTTACTTCACGACGTTTCGATTGTTAGTATCCACAATCGTCTTCGGACGGGACTATTCCCTGAGAGAAGACTATTTATATGTACACTTATTAACAATGATCTCGGGTCATTTGTTGAGTTGGCAAGAGATCACTGTGTAGGGGAGAATGTTCCACGATCAGACATGTTCCACAATCAGACAAAGCATGTAATTTTGAAATTCCAGCCGCGAGTTCGATGTTTTTCGTTCGGATAGTAGGGTTACAGACGCAGTTTTGGTAAACAAAGTTGTTACGCCATGTCAAACATGGCTTTTAGAACACCCTGGTATACCCGTTTTTATTTTTGATATAGCTGGCTGTGTTAATAATACATTAGAAAAATCGATGACGCCAGCTAATATAAAATCCGGATTTCGAAAAACTGGGATTTATCCTTTCGTTAAATTCCCATTTACAGATGATGCCTTTGCAATTAGTAACGTAACTGATAGGAATGTGGATTAAAACAATGAAGAAGCCCGCCCACATATCAAGCTGTATTGAAGAAAATATTATGTCAGTCTCTTCACTTTCAGCATCAGTTAATTTACACACAACTCCCACACAAAATCAAGACACAGAAACTTTCGTGAGTCCGCAAGAATTCAAAGGATACCCAAAAGCTGAAAAACGACACCGACACTCCAGAAAAGATCGCCCTGGAAACTGAATAGATAGAGAGAGAAGAAAAAAGCTTGAAGAAGAAAAATATCATGAAAAGAAAAGTAGGATTCCATGAAGACTCAACAGATAAAGAAAATGAAAACGCGGCGATGCTTGTAACTGAAGATTCTGATGATGATATTGATTTTGTAGGAAAAATCGATCCACGACCTCTTCTAGACAAGCTTAATAAAAAGCCAGAAGTTGCCGATTTTATTTTGATAAAATTTATAGACAAAAAGAAAAAATTATAACATAGCTGAAGTATTATATAAAAGAGATAAGGAATGTGAAATTAAATTTCTGAGAAAGTCCGTTAAGTATGATAACAGACAGCTTCATTTACCCCGAAATAGAAGACGTCTCTTTGGTATGATTGGAAAACATCAAGATGGTGTTACCAAAACCATCACACGTGGGAACAACAAAACGGCAACAATCAAATTTGAAGTTAATTTTTCAGCCTCAGAAGTTCGTTAAAACAGTACTAAAACGTTTGTCTTATTGTGGAACATGCCGTGTGTGGATGTGGAATATGTGTGTTTCACAATCAGACAACTGTCCTTTCATTTTTAAACAAACTTTTTTTTGGTTAATGATGTATGTACTACCATAGAACCTTATGCACAGCTTTAATTTGTATTAGTGACAATCATATTTCCGTTTGCTCAATAAATAAAGTTAATATTTAGCAAAACCTATTTTGTGTCTGATTGTGGAACACTCTCCCCTACTACTAAATGCCACTGAATCGAATATCATCCTTTTCGGATCAAAAAAGAATTGCCAGAAAACAAGTAAATCTCTTACAATCACGATTGATAATGTTCCTTTACAGCCCACAAATGAATGCATAAATCTTGGAGTTATAATCAACTCTGATTTGCGGTTTGAGAAACATATAAACAAACAAATACAACTTGCATATTCTTTGCTGAAACTTATTTATGAACACAGACGCGTACTCACGAAACAGACGAAAACAACTTTCTGTGATGCACTGGTTTTATCGCGCTTTAACTACTCGGATACTTTATATAGCCCATGTTTAACCAAACAGTATGCTCAGAAGATATAGAAAGTACAAAACTTGTGTCGACGGCTCATTCATGGAATCAGGAAATATCTGAAACTCCTTATGTTCGAAAGCCAACTTTAAGCATAAACTGCCCAACCCTATACATTTTTCATCATTATGAGACCAGAATAAGTCTCAGTAATGAACGTCTTCTCCAGCATCTCAATAGATATTTGAACTTTTTCTTTGTCTTAGCTTAAGTAGAATCTTTTTGAGGTTGAGTGGAAGAACAACTCAGTAGCACTTGTGCTGAGTAGAGCTTCGCCTTTTGTTATATCAGCAACTAGCTCTGTAATTTATCTAAATATTTGTATCTAACTACAGCTGGGAAACAATAAAGACGATTATTATTATTCACGCTTTCACCTATCACCTCTTTCCTCTCTCCGCTTTACTGGTTTAGCGTTGCAAATCTATACGCTAGTTTGACTGAATGCATAGTTGAACAAGATATATGCTGCTTCTTTGAACTTCTTCTTGAACCAGTGTTCCTCCCTGTGGATGATCTCAGCTTGAGACCACTTGATGTCATGTTGATGAGTCCAAACATGAGCTCTGCTATTCCCGATTTGCAGGTTTCTCCTCGCTGTTTATTTCTCGTGTGCTCTGCAATGCGGACTTTAGATGGCTCCTCAGTTTTACCGACAAAAAAAATTTAACGCATTCAGAGGATGATGTTTCTGGATCTGACGCAGTTTCTGATATTGTACTTGGACCCAATTATTTTTTACCTTCTCGACAATTCTCTGACGTAGGAAACGACAACCACTGGTTGTGATGTCTTTTTGCCAAAGACTGTTCCACCATCACTGTGGAGTAATCGTTCCGTAGAAGATTTTTTTATGATGTCTAGTTTCTTCTCCAGACCTTTCTCCGTATTACAGAGCCCGAAAACATGATCTACTAGTCTCGATGATCCCTTTTTGGGAAAGATTGATGGTTTTGGAATCGTGATTTAGATGCTGTCCCGTGTGGGTGGGTTTTCGGTTTACAGTGTCGGCCCTCTTCACGAGTACGTCTAAGAATGCCAATTCGTTGTGGACTTCCTTCTCCATTGTGAAAGTGATGGAAGGTCTCACGCTGTTGACCTGTTTCAGGAAGGCGTCTAGTTCAGTATTTCCATGGTTCCATATTATGAAGCTGGCGTCAGCTTAACTCAACCACACTCGGGGTTTCTTGTGGGCTTCTTCAATGTCCAGAGTTTCAAACCACTCCATATTTATGTTGGCTATGACTGGTGAAAGTGGCGATTCCGTTGGCAGTCCTTCATCTTGCGTAAAGAATTCATTCTTCAACTGAAAATAGCAGTTTCGTATACATTTTCCCAGAAATTCCAGGTATTGTGACTTCATTTCACGTTTCACTGCTCAATAATATGTATATTTTAGCGCTATCTATTTCAATTTTCAATTACAATTGTAATTGTATTCATTTGATTTGTTTGTTCTTTCATATATTTTGAATCATGATAAAATCATATTGGATAATGGAGGTCCGAACTAGTTGAATACAATTTTGATTATGTCTTAATATCACAGAAGGAGATAATGTGTCTTGTCTGTTTGTTTGGGATATTGATTGTAATTAGTGGTTCACTGATAATCCAAAATTTAAATTTCAACAACACAATATAGGAATTATATCCGGCACTTTCAGTGATAAACATACACTAGAAACCTTGGATGGTATCCATAAACAGTATCACTTTCCCTAATTCTCTATTCAGTGAACCGTTGAAACAATTGTTATTCGAAAAGGTCGCTGCCTGCGTTTTTCTGTAATACAATCCAGAGAAACAGGATATATCAACAATGAAAAGGGTTGAATTAGCTCTATTTCTACAACTGAATTGGGGAAACAAACTGAAAAAGGGTAAACGAAATATAAACAGTAATTCTGGAGGGACAGAAAACAGACTACACAAGATACCTTGGTAATCGGGAAGCTTCTATTGAGGCATTTATTTTATCAACTCCAGAGATTATTCCAAAACGTGGGTTTTAGAAATGTAATATTGAGTGAAACTTACTGGAAGGTTTCAGTAATCAGAGATGAAACTTCTCAAGAAAAAACATCTATTCATTTGAGTAGGAAAATATTTTTTCAATTGGAAGCTGTGGAAAATGTCAGATTGC